GTGTTATATGTGATACAATGGAGTATAAATGCATTTGGCTTGAATAGTATTGTGAATACAATTTTGATGATAGAGTTATGAACATTTTGGCCATTATTTAACATGTTAAAAATCTATATTTTGAATGCAAATGTTTGCATGTTGATTAAGGTTAGTATTTAAGCTTGTTCCATGCATAAATTGTATATGTGAAGGAGGAATGTTTTAATGGTGATTAATATGTTTTCTTTATGAATTTTGCTTGAAAAATCATGTGAGAATTGATTGCATGATTGATGCAAATTGGTATCACATTCGGCCATATCATAGATTGAATGGTGCTTGAATTGTTCATGTTTTGATAATGATCAAATGGTGTATGGATGAAGGTTAAGTGAATGGCATGTTAATTTGATGAATTTGTAAATATGCGTGTATCATTAATGGATTTTATAATGCATAGTTGATGTGTTTTGTCATATGGCTCTTAATTTGATAAGACATGATGTGAGAGAATATTTATTATATGATGTATAATATAAGATGTTTTATATTCATGTGATGCATAATATAATGATATTATATTTTTAAGGGTAGTAAAATTATGCATGTACCCTTGGTTCAATGATGACACATTTTTATGTATTTATTACATGAAGTCCTTTATTTATAAATATTGCAACTTGTATAAATATTTATTTATATGCCCTTGGTTGAATTAATATTTATTAAAGTGATGGATGAATATTAATTAGGGGATGATCATGGGTGTATATTTATTTTTACCAAAAATATTTGATATTTGGGCATGTAATATTCTTTCAATGGCTTGTAATAATAATTAATTTTATTATTAGTTTGTTATCCGGGCCTGCATGTCCTAAATTGGTTTATGCAATCGTACGACCAGGCAGAGGATGTAGATCCGAACAATCACCAGATGAAGATCTGCAAGGAGCAATAGAATTAGGTGAATAGTTTACCTAGTTAGGATGTATTTTCAAAAACCCCATGATCATCCCACCATGTTTCATATTTATATGGATGCATTTGAATTGATGTATGTGATGAATGTAAAACATTTATTAATCAAACGTTAAACCTAATAATCTCCCTAACGAACAATATTAGATCCAAGCCTTCCATTATGGGCCAATTAATTCTTTGGCATAAAATTAGAGATCCCAAGATTTCTATTATGTGAGTGATGCTAATTTTATGACATGGAATTAATTGTCTTAGTTCATGGATATAAATTTTCATAATACCCTAGATTTCTATTATGTGAGTGTATAATAGGAATTCTATTTTAAGAAAGCACAATGGGTTGGATTTAACTAGTTTAGGGTACCAAGATTTCTATTATGTGAGGTATCCAAAACTAGAGGCAAGGAATGAATCATACCTTATATAGTGATATAAAAGGAAATAGTTTCCTACTTATTAAATTTAATTGACCAAGATTTCTATTATGTGAGGTTTAATTGAATTAAAATAATTTGATTCTCCACTAGAAATTTATTCCAACGAAATTTTTGAATCGTCATTTAAGGGAATATGAGATTTGAATAAAATAGTGAGAACTAATAAGATTAGCATTAAAGGGTTTAAATTTACAAGACACTAATAAAACTTATATTTTTCCTTGCAGTCTCTTTCGATATTTTGTGATATTTAGTTAATGAAAATGAGTAATAACCTGGTTTTGAGGATTCTTGATGACAAGCAGTTAATCGGACCGAATTTTAATAATTGGTTAAGGAATTTGAGAATTATTTTCAATTCCAAAAAAGGTCGGGTATGTCTTGGAAGTACTCCTTGCACTTTCTTTGCCTCCTAATGCCATACCACAAGAAAATGAAGTTTTCGATAAGTGGCGGGAGGATGACTTACGAGCTCAATCCTGCATGCTAGCATCAATGAATGTTGAGCTCTAGGTTGAGCATGAAAAGATGGAAAGTGGGAATGAGATAATGATCCATCTACAAGAGTTGTATGGTGAGAACTCAGTGGTGAAGGAATACGAATTGTGTTCGACACTATTCGCAATGGGAGCTGCCCCAGATAATCATGTCATCAAGATGATTAATATTATAGGGAAATTACGTAACTTAACATTGTGATGGCACACAATCTTGAGGAGAATTTAATTCTGCAATCCCTTCCACCAAGTTATGGTCGTTTTTAGTTGACATGCTCATTTAGGACTTTTAGGCATTTCGTTTGGGTTTTTGATGCACAGTGCTCTCCAAGAATTCTTATGCTAGACGTGCCAAATTATTTGGCTCAAAAAAATATTTCCATTGATATCTTATGGGCCCCGTAACTCTTCCCAAATCAAAGTTATGACCGTTTTAAGTTGACATGCCCATTTAGGACTTTTGGGCCTTGCTTTTGGGCTTATGATGTGCATCCCTCTCCAAGAATTCTTGTCCTAGACATACCATGTTTTTGGGCTCAAAACGAGCTTTCTTTTGATATCTTATGAGCCCCGTAATTCCTTAAGGATCAAAAGTTATGGTCATCTTAAGTTGATATACACATTTAGGACTTTTAGGCCTTGCTTTTGGGCTTCTGATGTACAGCCCTCTCATGGAATTCTTGTGCTAGACATGTCACATTTTTGGGCTTGAAACAAAATTTCCGTTGATATCTTATGAGCCCCATAACTCCTTGATCAAAAGTTATGGTCGTTTAAAGTTAACATGCCCATTTAGCACTTTTGGGTCTTGTATTTGGGCTTATGATATGCAGCCCTCTCTAGAAATTCTTGTGCTAGACATGCCATATTTTTGGGCTCGAAACGAGCTTTCTGTTGATATCTTACAGGCCCCATAACTCCTTCCAGATCAAGAGTTATGGCCGTTTTAAGTTGACATGCAAATTTTAGACTTTTGGGCCTTATGTTTCGGCTTTTGATGCACAACCCTCTCCAGGATTTCTTGTGCTATACATGTCACATTGTTGGGCTCAAAACGAGCTTTCTGTTGATAGCTTATGGGCTCCATAACTCCTCCCGAATCAAAAGTTATGGCCTTTTTAAATTGACATATCTATTTAGGACTTTTAGGCCTTGTGTTTGGGCTTCTAACATGCATCCCTCTACTGGAATTCTTGTGCTAAACATACCACATCGTTTGGCTCAAAACGAGCTCTCTGTTGACATCTTATAAGCCCTGTAAGTCCTCCCAAATCAAAGGTTATGACCCGTTTTAAGCTGACATGCCTATTTAGGACTTTTGGGCCTTGCTTTTAGGCTTCTGACCCACAGCCCTGTCTGGGAATTCTTGTGCTAGATGTGTCACATTTTTGGGCTCGAAACAAGCCTTCCGTTGATATCTTATGGGTGTAAATCATCCAGGATCAAACATTTATGATATTTTATGTTGGCATGCCCACTTAGGACTTTTTTGCCTTGTGTTTGGGCTTCTGACGCGTAGCCCTCTCTAGGATTTTTTGTGCTAGACGTTCTACATTAGACTCGAAACGAGCTTTCCGTTGGTATCTTACGGGTCCCGTAACTGCTCCCAGATCAAAAGTTATGCTCGTTTTAAGTTGACATTCCTATTTATGACTTTTAGGCCTTGTGTTTGGGCTTCTGATGCATAGCCTTTTCCAGGAGTTCTTGTGCTAGACATGTCATGTTGTTGGTCTCGAAACAAGCTATCTGTTGATATCTTATTGGCCTTATAACTCCTCCTGAATCAAAAGTTGTTGTCGTTTTAAGTTTTTTTTTTTTTTTTGGTAAGTAATTTTTATAGAAAAGTGAGAAAAGAATGTACAAGAGGCCTAAAAGCAACCATCCTACCTTAGGACAAGCCCAGAATTTGGAGCAAAAGAATGATTCTAACAACCTACCCCTAATCTTCTCTTTTTTCCATTCCTTTTAGCAAAGAATTGGAACCAAGCAGAGACTAATGAAAACAAAAAGATCAACCTACCATGGCACAAGTCCTTGGGTTAGGTTCAAAAGAACAAAAAAAAAAAAAAAACCACCAAAAGCATGAGCATTAGCAACAAAAAATAAACCAATAGCAACCAATCTTCCAAGAAGCACAAGGGGCATCACCTCCCAACAACAACCAACACCAAAGGGAACAGTCCACCCTAATCACCTTTTCAACCCCACCAAACAAACCAAAGTTGAAACAACCATCAAACAAGGGAGGAAGGGAACCTAAAGCAACAAACCTCCAAAAGCCAGCCATCAAAACAAGCAAAACCCCACTCAACTAAAAATAGATCTTGGAAGGCCCATGTCCAAAGCAAGCTTAGTATTAGAAAAGGACTTTTGCACTTTGTAGAGATCCATAGCCCTTTCCCTAACAACCCTTTTGAATTGAATTAACCAAGCAAGTGGCGTCTCGACAATTGTTCCCGCAAAACCTATTGTTCCTTTCTCTCCAGACATGATACACTGTAGCTCCCAAGCACACCTTACCAATAGCGTATTTGAGCTTCTTGGCTTTCATTTAATAGTTAGGTGGCTTATATACTCTTGCCAAGGCCGAACCACTTAACCAGGATAGCAAAAATCAAGCACACGGCTCCAAATTTTTCTTGTAAATGACAAGTGATGAAGAGATAATCCATTGTCTCCACTTGACCATTACAAAAAACACAAGTACCAGTTCTTCACACCATATCTCACTAATTTATCCTTGGTTTGCATGCAGTTTCTAATGGCCATGGGAAGATGAAGTTCCTTGTAACATCTGTAATCAGTATTTAACCTTCCAAAATTAAAAACTGCATAATTTTGTTCATGGGCAGGTGTTTTAGGATAACCACTAAATGAGCTGCACAGGAAATGTCCCCAAACAGTCATAAAATGCCTAGAACTCTCATAAACTTATGTTGAATTCAAGAGACTTCATGCTTTAGTTTTGATTCAATCCATAAGGTTGAGTAGCATTCATGGTGACATAGCATGGATATATACAGTCATCTAGATACTCATCTCCATAGTATCATCAATGTTGTCTTCTGACAATGAACACTTTTCAATTATATTTGCCCAGTACTTTTGACTATCCTGGCTCAGAAAGGATTTTTCGTAAATGCATATGCCAATGACATATGTAGCATGAGTTTGGCTGAGGAAGATAACTCCATGGAAATAACAGAAGGTGGAGAAGGTCGTCCTTCCTTGAATGTCTTATTTGCTAAGGCCATCAAAGGCCCAATGCTTTCGTCGGACAGTTAGTCCAAATCAGCACATTAGATTTGATCTTCCATTTTTTGTCCTCAAAACGTGCTCTGGGCAAACAGATCCAAGTTTTGGTGGAAGAAAACATTGCAGACTATGTTTTTGAAATACTACAATTGTCAGGTGAGTGTACTTTCATAATTGAAAATAGCAACATCTACCATAATTTGACTGTTTGGGTACTTTATCAATATGTGACTATTCGTGCTGCCTTCAAGAAGAGAAAATTATCTCTATTACAATCTAGATTTTAACAAGTTTTATAAATTCCATATTTATTTAGACAACTTACTCACGTTCGTATTTTCTGTCTCAAATTTATGTATTTCTTTACTGAATCACAAAGGTAGAGTTCTTTCACATCAAGTTGTAGTTTAGGGGCTGGTTAAGTTCTAGCATTGATGAACAGAATGCAAGGATCCAACAGCCAACTCTTGCCTTCAGGTGCTTAATCTTCTTTCGACCGCGGAGCAAGCTTTCAAACAAAGGCTAGTTGTTGGATTCACAACTCTGATTCCAGTACTGCATCATGTTGCTGAAGTTCCTTTTCACCCTTTTCAAAATCAGACACTGAAGCTCATTTGGAACTGCATTTCTGACTGCCCTGGAATATTATCAACTTCTCAGGTTGAGGAACTAATTCTTTGTTTGACAATGATGCTTAGAAGGAACACTGATGGTGAGATGAGCATGCTTACAGAGACATTCATTATGGCCTGCTCAGTCTTTGTAGCTATTTTGAAATCACCATCTTCTCATGGAATTTCAAACCCAGCAACGTCAATTCAAGAAGCTCCAAAACATGCTGTTCAAGCTTGTCTAAATATGTCTGGGAAAGATCCTAGTCAACTTTTGCATTCCTTGTACTACTAAAAGAGGTGTATGCATACAGTTATGAGGGGTTCTCAACCTCCAAATCCAACAGCATAGATCTAAGAAATTCAATAATCAATCTATGTACATCTCCATTATTACCCTGGTTTGTAAAGGCATGCTGCTTGTTACATCCCATCTGATCCTGCCGATATGTTGTTTCTGCTTGGTCAGAAGAGTGCTGACAATTTAGAATTGTCTTCTTGTCAGTCAGTAGTTTTACTTATTTTACATATCAGTTCTTTATACAATGACAGGTAATTTAGCTCCTGAGCTAATTCATTCCTATTGCTCTTTTATGGTTTAGATTTATCCTGTCATTTCTCATTTCATTGACCTCTGATGCGTTGGAATTACAACATGCAATGTGTAGCAAGTGCACTAATCGCAAAAAGTAATAAAATGATAAGTTGAGTATCGTTCCCACGAAGATTGTTTGTTAAGCACTGATTTTCCTAGTTGTTTATTAAGTTGGAGAAACCGAAAGATGTTTGGATTTGAGGGAGAAAATTAAGCTAAAGTAAAAACAAAATTTACTACATACCTTAAAAACTAATTAATGACAGCAAGGTTAATTTAAGAGAAATATCAATTAAAACAAACGGTCAGGGTTTTGACTTCACTAGGATTTTATGAATTAACTACAAGTATGCTACTTCTACACTCACATGTACGGATTATAAATCGGACTCCCTAATGTGTAAAACATACCTTCTCGGGCTATGTTTTCCTACTTTTCCCTATTAAGCTTCCGCACCCAACAAATTGAAGGTTAATAGTTCCAAGTTCGTTAAGCTAAATGGAATCCTAAATTGATTTCATTGATTCTCAAACCTATCTCTAGCATTCAATACAACAATGGCAATTACCCTAAAAAGCTAATACATGATTCACTTCTCAATCTCATCATGTTCAACAAGTAATTTCAATAAAAACAAGAGTAATCACACAATCCATGCAATAAAATGTAAAAGCAACATCAATTTATTGATTAAACATAAAAAAATCCCAATTACATCAAAACCCTAACCCAAAAGTGAGTTAGTTCATACTAAAATTAACACAAATCGAAATAAAAACAGTAAACAATGCATTCAACATGTTGGAATAAAGAAAAGAGAACAAAAATCTTCCTTATTTGATGAATCCAAAGAGTTCAATCTCCAAATTTCTCTTCCTTCTCCGAAAAATGTCGAACCCTTTCAAAAATGGCTAAGTCTCACTTATATAGTCGGTCCAAAAAAAAACCTAAAACTTTCACCTAAAAATAAAACGCACAGTTTTGAAAAACTGAAACTTGCAAACTTCGCAGCAGCAAAGAATATTCTTCGCCGTGGCAACGAGTTGGTTTAAAATTCTTAATCTGTCCCGAGAGTTTATCGCCATGGCGAAATTTTTTGAACAATTTTGAAATTACGAAACTGCCCTCTGCTTGCTTCCTCGCTTGAATCTTCAATCTTTGGTGCTCTTCAATAGGAACAAGCTTCATAGTGCTTCAAATCCGCTTCAGAACTTCCCCGAATCCTGCGATTCGCTTGCTTCTGGGTCCAGAAACTCAATTCCACTCATTATTTGCTCTAATTGCACATTTTGGCCTGAAACATAAAATATATGCAATTAAGTTGCAATTCGGGCGAAAATGAAATAAGAAGTATCCAAAATCTGGCCAAAAAGCCTAGATAAAACAGTGTAATCCTAGGATTCTCAAATACCCCAAACTTAAGACATGCTCGTCCCCGAGCATCAAGTACAATATACGACTAAAAGAAAACAGCTAACAAACAGATTAAGGCAACAAAATTGAAAATGAAATGAGATAAATTAGAATCAAAATCAAACACAAAGAACTGCCTAGAATTTATACAAGTCTCAAAAATTGTTGAAACATTATTACTGGAAAATGCTTAACACTCCAAGAAGTTGTAAGTTGATTGACTATTTTTCTCTATCAGTCTCCTGAGTAGGTAGTAATCCCCATTCAGTCCACCTTCCGACTTCCCAGATTATTTTATGCAGAAATGTAAAGTTTATCAAATGGTGGTCGACTCCATAAGCCTAAGTATCGAACTACTCTCCACTAATGAGAACTAGACATCACTAAGGATCAAAAGGTCTTTACAGGCTTGTAACGTTAGACTCGGTTAGTTGGCTCCAAAGAAAAGGATAACACAAACAAAGTAAGAGAACTCGGTTTCCTTTAAGCAAACACTAAGAACAACATCAATCTCCGCTTTCTTTCTCAACCACCGATCAGGGTGTCAACTATTTTATAAACCTCAACATGTGCAATTCTTATTTTTTATTCTGAGATGAAACTCTCAATTTCTATTTCTTTTTATCTTTATTTCGTTTTTTTTTTTTTTTTAAGGCAACATCAATTTATTGAGGTCACTTACCCCTTCTTCTTGCCTTTCTTGCGACCCCCAGACTTATTATTTTGGTTCGTCAAAATCTCACACAACTCTCCAAACTTTTTTGTGTCTGCCTTAGGTTTAGAATTCTCTTAAAGGTTGTGACACTTGTTTAGGGTGAAATGTTTGGGCAATTTTTTTTTTTGGTTGCACAAGAAAAATAGGACAGTGATGATTTCATAAGGTTCAAATGGGTGACTAGGGAAAAAATTTCATGGTTGGTTGGAAAGGCTCAAACGTTCTAAAAAACTGCCTAAATCACTTCCTCAATAATGTCTATTCCTAGAATTTCGCCTCAAGCACTTTCAACTAGGTTCTAGAGTCCACCCACATTATCAAGACTTCACCTAACCACATACAAAGTTTCTAAGCATGCTGAAAAAAATATGAAAATGGTGGTTGAACCACTCAACAAACCTCTAGAAAGGAAAAATTAATCAACCAACCTAAACTTGAAGCAATGCTTAACATTAATTTTCCATAAATAAAATCTCAACAATCCTATTCTCATCATAGACTTATGCAATTCATCATTGGCAACAATAATACAAAAAAAAAAAAAAAAAAAAAAAAAAAAAAAAAAAAAAAAAAAAAAAAAAAAAAAAAAAAAAAAAAAAAAAAAAAAAAAAAAAAACTAAACACAAAACAAAAGTTCCAATTTTCCCACCCCCAAACTAAAAATGACATTGTCCCAATGTCACATCATGCATAATTCAGGAATAGAAAAACATAATTAAAGGGTACGAGATAGTTCCCTGATTAATCCGTGAAGACTGATTTTCGTTCAACATCATGCATATACATTCCTTGGTTTCCTCATCATCATATGTAAAACAAATGCAATTCTATGGTGCCCACTGTGTTAGAAATTTCCACGGAATAATATGAAAAAAATTACAACCTAAGCTCACCCTTACAAACTAAACTAGAAAATTCAAACAACAATTAACAATCTAAAAAGAAAAGAAAATTAGTTCCAGCGTACAAAACATAAACAAGAACAATTGAAAATAGAAAATACAAAACAAGTGTTTCAGGCTTCATTCTTCGTCTTCCTCTTCTCCTTCGGCATCATCATCGTCTTCCATGGAATCATCTTCTTCCTCTTCTTGCTAATCTTGCCATTGGAAGTTTGAAACATCAACGCCCAGATTGGTGCAGTAGTTGTATTGCATCTCGTACAGCATTCGGGTCTACCCTGCCATCCAATCTTGACGTCATTCTATCCTGATCACCTTGTCCAAAATTTGCTGCAACAGCTCCCTTGTCGAGGATGTTGAACTGGATGTTATGGCAGCTGTTGTGGTTCTTTGTCTTTTCAATCCAAAACTGGGTCCTTTATTAGGAGGACGCTCGAGTAGCTTGTAATAATAGTTGGAATCGAGGGCTGGGGCAGGATGAAGAATTGGTTCATCGTCTACCTTCTTGACTCCCGCTCGAGTGCAAAGCTCAATGATGAGATGTGGGAAGGCGAAGCTCCCTCGCCCTAGTTTGGCTACATGCCATATACTCTCCATTATTATATTCCTCACATCCATTTTCTTTTCAGTGGAAATGGAATAAAGTAACACTGCTCGCTCAAAAACCACTGTACTACAATGCGTCTCCATGACCATCCGCACACAAACAAAATACTGCCACAATCTAGCCATAGGAATCAAATTTGTTCCTTTAATGCTTCTTCTCCTCTTCTTCGAAATTTCCCAAGAGGTACTCGGCTTTGCTATGACCTTAAGAATCTCCTCCTCCTTAATCTGTTTCTTCTTAAATTCCAAATACTCATCACATTCAATTGGATCAAGTTTGTAGAAATCATTGATAATCTTTGCATCGATTGGCACATTGATTCCCCTCACATAAACATGCCCAGGATCACACTCAGGGAAGTTGGCATAAAATTCTCTTACTATTGGCTCTATGGCTAAATGTTTCGGTTTACTCATGAAGATATCCCAATTTCTCCCTCGATTCCAATCTTCTCTATGGACGGTGGTCAATCCTCTCTCGGCAATAAACCCTTTGTCTTTTCTTTTAAATGCGCCTTCATAACGCTGCCTAGCCTTCTCATTTACAAACCTATTGTCGACCTGTTTTCCTTTACCCCTGGGAACCTTTTTGAGCGGCATTTTGGTTTTCAATAGTGATCACTCAAATCTACCCCCAAACTAAGTGATTCAACGCTAAAGCACACTTTCTACAAACCACAATCACTCCTAAATTCACACCAAGGTTTTGAAAATTGTACCTACACCCCCAAATCACCACTCTTCCAAACTCAATCAAACCACTTCAAAATCGAAAACCCAGCCTCCTCAACAACAAACAAATCAAACTCAACACTTCTCAAGTCAAAGTCAATCCACAAATTGCATCAAAATCCACAACTCAACAGATTCAATCAAATTCTCACACTCAAAGCATTAACTAGCACAATTGATCAAATTTAAGGCTAGAGAACTTGAAATCTTACCACTCCCACGACGAATGCACCACCAATCTCACCAATTTCTACCCAGAATGCAACATCCCCAAATTTTGAAAAACCTAGGGTTTCCAAACTTCTCTTCAATATTTTGCAAAAATCTTTGACAAAGTGAGGTGATTTAGTGTTTATGAGGGTTAAGGAGTGGAGTAGAGGGAAGAAAATTCACTGGAACTCTTTGGATTGAAGGTGGAAGTGTTTGGCTCTTTGAGGTTTTTCACGAAAATGAAAAGTCATCGCAACTTTTTATTGAAAACAGAATTCATCGTGGCAAAGTTCTTAATCCAATTACGCAACACAGTCGATGTCGCGGCAAAGAAAATTTCTCACCGCGACGAAGAAATTTCTTCACCGCAGCGAAACC